AATCAGCTACGTTTCTAATTGTAAATACTTAACTGCCTCTGTTGGCTCTCTATGTGCTTTATGTATCACTTATACCAGGGCATTTTGGGGTTTTGTGAGCTAGCTCCATCTGTCGTGTGGAAGCCTCTCAGAAGTCACTTTGCAGTGAGCCCCATATGAGATGGGGAAAAAACCCCAAAACTGGTTTGAAATTAAAGCTTTCTCATTGCCTTACCCATGCTGAACTCAACATCTCATGCAGCCAAACAGTAAGCAGAACCAGTTGCAATCAGCATGCTAAGAAAGAGATGAATTGCAAGAGTTCTTATGGCCCAATTGCCAGAACAGAAACTGCTGGCACTGAATTGTTTACAGTGTCAGGCACAATACAGATGTGGGAATGCTGTTTCTGATTGAAGAGTGCCCAATCTAAAACTGCAGGTCTGTGAGGAAGTTGTGACAGGGTATATGCAGTGGTGAAAATTACCTGATTAACTGATTGCTGTCAGGTATATGTGCCATCTTGGCTTATATTAATGTTCCCATGATCAGGGCTCTTGTCACTTAGATTTCATGTAGAAATGAGACCCACTTAATAGGCATAAAAACAGATTTCTTTTTGGACAACACCTAACACAATGACATTGCAAGAAAACTCAAATATCTGAGGTCATTACCTAACCTTATCAGTACAGGTCTCGAGTTCAGAATAAGCAAGTGTTTTAGTATTATTTGCTCTGACAGAACCTTATTGGCATTTGCCATTTGCTCACGGAACACGCTCAAGGTGGCATGGTCTGCTTTGCTAAGGAAATCTCCTTCTGTCTTCCTGCAGAGCCAAGAATTCCAACAGAGGCTATGTTGAACACTGAGCCTGCAGCAAAAAGACTGAAGAGGTATTTATTGAACAGGGTATTGAAATAGTTGCTGAGCTTAGAATTGTTGTCTAATTTTGCTTTCTGATAGTTAGGGTTGTAATGTCCTGGGCTGATGTCTGACAGATTGGAGGTATTTCAGATGCCTATGGACAATTCAGAAAACATGATGCTTGCTGAGATCCAGGGTGGGGTAGGGTCTCTGCCAGGGGTGAGCCAGTGATGGGAATGGAAAATGAGAGATGCAGCTCCTCTAAATATGCAACTAAGCAGAGTTTGCCTATGTGTTCTCCTCCTTGTAAGAAGCAGAATGGTTCTATTCTAATGTATTTCTCTGATTTTCTTCCCTAAATGTCACAAAGTGAAATGAGCAGAGAGGAAAAGCCTTGGAATATGTTAGGTTACAGTAAGTGTAGGAGAAGGTCGTTTATTTTGAGCAGTGATAAAGGGAATCAGTACTCCCTAGTATCCAAGAGTGTATCCGTGAGCGTTGAGTTCTGTATCCCTCCTGCAAGGACTACGTTGCCAGTACCCCTGTCTGCTGGGTAAAAATAGCCCAGGCAATCCTATTAGCCGCGAGGGGAGCTCAGCGGGCAGCACACTGGCCACGGGTGCCAGGGACAGGCAGGGCTGCATTGCCATCTAGTGGGAAGGCACCTCCCGGGGCCATCTGCACCGAGCTGTGCCTCTCCCAGAACTGTCACCGTGAGCTGGTGCCGAGGGAGGAGAGGAGGCAGCACATACAGATTTCTGGAGGCATCGATTTGAGAACTCTCCAACATATGTTAGCGGCGATGAGTCAGGACTCCTGGGCCCTCCTGTCTTCCCCGTTAGCGATTCACCGCCTGGTTTTGGACAAGTTTCTTCACCTTGCTGTTTGCCATCTGTAGATTAGAGATTAATGGATAGCTTTAGGGAGAATATTGCAGGATTACATGATCAAGGTAATATCTGAACATCAAAGTGAAACATGAAGAAGTGATAAATATCGTGTGAGCAGGGACCATCCTGAATTATGGACTCTGATTAGCAGGAAAGGGAATAAATCCAATTAAGGCTAGGTCAAATACATTTGGGTGTATGCTTTGTTAATCTGTTTGCCAAAGCTAATTTAATTTTAATTACATTAATATTTAGCAGAGTATTAATCAAAGTCCTGTTACATGCAACGAAAAAAAGAATCAAGTGTGAGGAATGACAGCTCTCACTGCAGCAAGCCTGCTATTAGGAAAATCCTTTCGTGAGCAGCAGTTAGGGATGCCAGATTTGATGCATATATTATGGCTGGTATTTACCTAGAATAGATCACTCCTTAGCTTTTTTTTTTTTTTTTTTTTTGAAGTGTTTCTGTTCACTTCCAATGAACAGATGATGGATCACTGAAAAAAATGAGTTTACTGTTCTCATGTTGCCCTTCACAGATGAGAAGGGAATTCTCCCCATCCATGTCCAAACTTGTGTTTCATGCTTCATTGTTCCAATTCCCCTTAGCCAGGAATACCAGCCTCCTTCTTCATTTCAGGTTTTTCCCACTTCTGCCTTTGCTCCCATGTACCATCTGTATACCTGGAACAACATCCTCATCCCAATGCAGAAAGCACTCGTCATCTTCAAACTCTCCTTGAACACCCACTGCTAGCATGGCATGACAAGTATCCATAGAGCACCATTTCCTCCTTAGATCAAGCTCGTGGTGGCTTTTGCTCCCCTAGATTGCTCCTTAGATTTGCAGTTCAGGCTGCAAACCCTCACCCCGAGTGCTGGCACCATCTGTGTGTGGTACAGTTAGTGTTGAGCCTGCTGGCAGCACTTGCCAAATAATGTTAATGCCAGCCACTCTCGTTTGATTCGTGTTTGTACTGCCCAAACCCTGCTGCATATTTATAGCTGTGTAACCCAGTTACATTAGCACTTATCAATCTGATAAGTTGGGGGGGAGGGTGTGTTTGGATAACAGGATGTGGTACCTGTGCAGTCAGACGTCTTCCTTGTGCAGAAAGTGTTGCTTCCTGTTGGCAGGAGGACACCAGCAGGTGGGAATTTGAGCCAGCCCCAGAGCAGATAGTCAAGCCGTGGTGAAAAGTCTTAGTCATGGTGGAAAAATGGGGGATGGAGAAAAGTACTGTAAAGTAGACTTTAAAAGTCAAACATTTGTTCTCAGCAGTCCCCTTGGGATATCTATTCTCCTTAGCAGATTACCAATACCAAATAAAGCAAGATCCTGATTTGCATCTTGTAGAGTCCCACTTCCCCCACAGGCAGAGCTGTAGGGGCTCTGGAGTGAAGCACGACTGGTGTGAATAGAGCAGGCAGCTGTGGTGGAATCCTTGTAAGACACCATGGAGAACTCTCTGGGTTCTGGCAGGTCTCTGTTCCCTCGTGCCAGCCAGGAGCACTGTCTGGGTGTTGCAGTTTCCCTGCAGGTCACCAGTCACGACAGGAGTGAGTTCTCAGAGCTCTGATTATGTATGAACTTATTTCCCTGCAGGCTTCTTGCAGCAGAGGGCAGCTAACCAAAAAATCAGTTGTAACCTTCTTGTCCAGATTATTTGGCTTCTGTTTTTGAATGTGTTCTAGAACACCCACTCTTCACTGGATTTCTTTCTTTCTGCCAAATTCTTGCGTGAAATACCACTTCCAATAGCTGACTGGTTTGGGGGTTTAGTGGAGAGTGTGGCAGCTAGACCCCAGCCTGTGCCTTGGTGTGTCTTCAGCATCTCTTTGTCTGTAACATGGCAAATAAGGTCATTTTCTTGATATCCTTGAAGTGTGACTGAGGAATCTGCGTTAGAGGATGCCACAGACAGCAGGAGAGCAGGAGTCTCAAGCACCCGTGTCCAAGCTGATGGTGAGTTGCTGAACCCTGTGATTTGCACTTTTAGGGCACTCCTGGCTGAACTGCACCCATAGATTCTGTGAGTCTCATCAGAAATGTCCTTCCTCCAGTCATACCGGATGGGGAAAGGAGAAAAAAATCTAGAAACCAAATCTAAACTTGGTTCCCCCAAAATCTGTTACCTACAAAATGCAAATGAAGGGAAGTTTCCCTCTTTAATAAGGATTTCTTTGGAGAAAGGTTTATGAACTGGCTTATGGCCAACAGCACTGTGAGGAAAACTCCCTTCTTCACTCACCTGCTGCTTTGTTTTTTTCTGTCGTTGCTGTTTTGATTCAAGGCAGCTAAAAGGACTCTCTTCTTAGGTACAGACAATGCAAAGGAGTACACAGCTGAAGATCACTCTAAAGAGAGGAAATTCTCCGAGGAACTGAAGGCTCCTGAGGTGAGCAGACACCGCTCCGTGCAGGGGTGGTGCAGAACATACAACCTCCCCCTCCATCCTGGAGAAACCGTTGCCACTGGGAACCAGCTGGCACCCACGTCTGGAGCTCTGTCTCCTGCTGGAAGCTGTTGTCCCTGGCAATAAGGCATAATATGTCTGCAATTAGTGCACAGTCTGCTCTGACTTGCTGCTTTTGTACCTTTGCTAGCCTGTTCCCTACCTGCTGCTGATTGGGGATGGTTCGTTAGGATTCCAGTGTTCATCTGGAAAGCTCAGTGGAAAGTGCCACTTAAGAATCTGTATGTGGAGGGCCATAGCTAAATACACCTTTTAAGTTGCTGAGAGCAGGTGTAGAAAAAAATTCAGGTGATGGTGTTAAAGATGCAACCTGGGAGTCTTTGCATGAAATACATGCGCCACTTGTTTGATAGTAAACCAGGTCCTTGTGCTGTTTAAATCTGTGAGCAGACAAAGATTTTACTCCAGGGGTGTAATCAGGTGTGACAGTCTTCCATAACTGGAGGCATTTGTTGATGTGATCACATGTGTCATCCTGCCCATGTGTGAGTTTCTGACTCCATCAGGTGTTGTCCTGAATTGCCTTTAGTTCTGCAGTGGAAAAAATGTGAGCTGATCGTATCCCTTACCAACAATTGTTTATGGCTTCAGTCCCCAGGGAATGGATCATACAGTGACTACAGAGGCTGCAGAAAAATCCATCTGTGCTAATAGCTCTTGTGCTATGACACAAGGATCTCTGATTTAGCAGCTCTGGGAGAAGGAGCATGTATGATTGTCCTTCTGATCTGATCAGCCTCCTGGGAGTTTAAGCTTAAGTGAATTTTCCTAAGGGGTAGAGAGTTTAGGTGATTTACATAAAGCAGGTGTAATTTTTGGTGTCTTTCTTCTGAGAGATTGGACTTAATCCTGACTCATTCTTTTGGCAGGTGTTGAGCTCTGGAGGTTCACTGAAAGTGACTATTCAGCAGAGCAGTGAGAGCAGAGCTATCAGTACCACAGCTCTGAAACCAGGGCACTGGGCCTGTGAGGTGGGCACAGCTGATCCCAACCCTGAATCCGTCCTTAAATTCTACTGCTACATCTGCAAGACCAACTGCTGCAGTCAGCAGGTAAAACTGCACAGGTCTGACAGGGATCCAGGTGGTCAAGAGATGGGAATTAGATGGCTGGCTGCCATGGGGAGGTGCAGCAGGAGACTTGTTAGCAAGGGCTCATGCTTCAGGAGCAAGGAACATAAAGAATGATGACAAGCATGCAGATAAAATAAACCTCTCCTGAGAGCTGGCAAGCAACCTGCTAGAGAGGGAATGTGGGTGGATCCACAGGCAACCATGCTCTTAAGCTTTTATACCATTTCATTGTTAAACAGCAGTCAAAAGAATGGAAAGCATAGCTCATACCTATTATTTTCTGTGTTATTCTCTTAACCTCTTTCAGAATTTCCAGTCCCACATGGCTGGAATTCAGCACCAGCAGCGACTTGGGGAAATTCAGCACATGAGCAGTGTTTGCTTTGTTTCACTACTGCCCATGGTGAAGCAGCAGAAGGAGCTAGCAGAAAAAGATGGGTAAGTGTTGGTCTGTGCTAGAAAGCTCAATCTGAATGTGGCCCTACATGGGTTCTGAAATTCCTTGCTGCACGAGGGTGCCCCTGAGTTTTAGGACAGGTACAAAATCCCCATGATTTCAAGGGCAGCTCTTCCAGACACCTTTCTTACTGCTGAAGGATGTCAGAGTTGACTTTGACCTGCTGTGTAGTTTTTAATATAGTAGATCAGGTTAGAGACTTATTTTAACTGGTGCCTTTCTATCAGCACAAGCTAAGCCAACCTATAACTGGGTGGGAAGGGGAGAAGATAAATCCAAGCCTGTAAAAATAGGAATGGTGGGGAAAACAATGCCAAGGACAGATTGCAACTGCAGTATTCCATGGAGAATGTGGAAAGGTGTGACTTACAGCTCTGTCTGTTGTCACTTCAGAGAGACCCAGCAGCGATGGTGTAACACGTGTCAGGTGCACTTCACGGGGGATCTAATCAAACACCGCAGGACCCAAGAGCACAAGGTAAGAGCCATAGTGTGGGGTTCATCTTTGCACTCACCTTCGTGGGGACTGAGTGGGAGTGCCTAGCATCTCCTGCTCCCCAAGCAGCAAAGGAGAAGCGAATGGAGTGGAGGGATGCAGAAAAATTTCTGCCAGTAACATCCTGCCTGTCTGAGGGCACTGCTGTGCTGCCTCCTGCCCCTGCTCACTGGCACTGAAACAGCTCTAGTGTGTAATTCTTGACTTATCTCAATAAATATGGCCTATCATACTCAGCTAATCAGCTGACTGGAGGAATTTGTGGTGGCCTTTTCAAGCTATAATTTAGGCAGGTGAGCATATTTATTGGCTTTGAGGGGAGAAGTGCCTGAGCACCTATTGTAAGGCACATTTTGTTTTGCTCTGCATGTTTTCCATCTTTTTGGTGGATAAAATCTTTCTACTGAAAAGACTCTTTGTGGTCTCCCTGGTTTAAATGCAGGGCTGACTTTGTTTCACACAGAACTTGTCAGCATTCCTCTGAAGCAGTGCCTGTTGTGACTTAGGGATGTCTTTCTTTCCTGTCCCTCTTTCCTCAGCTGGCCAAACGCTCCCTTCGTCCTTTCTGCACTGTCTGCAGTCGTCACTTCAAGACCCCTCGCAAGTTCGTGGAGCATATGAAGTCCCCTGAGCACAAACAGAAAGCCAAAGAGGTAACACTGCCTGGGTGGAGAGCTGTGCAGGTCTGGAGGCAGCTACACTGTGGGGCAGGATAACTTTCTACTTCCCTGACTATTGCAGGGCTGAAAGGAAGATGTGCAGTTCTTCCAATGCTGTTTTAATTTCCATGTTTTGCTGCACTTCAGTTGTTAGAGCTAAAAGAGGTTGAGTGAAAAAGGGACAAGGAGTTAGATGTGTCTAGAAGAGAGAGAGCTTTGTGCCCCTCTTGCTGTCCCTTCTGCTCATCAAACACAATCTGTCCAGGGTCTGTGCTCTTCCTTGGTTAAATGGGGAGTGCAAAGTTGAGCTGATCTTTCTTTTCCACACCTGACAGGTGAGGCTAGGAGAAAAGGAGTTAGGCAGCCCAGAAGATTCAGAGGAGTTGATCACTGTGGATGCTGTTGGCTGCTTTGAAGATGATGATGAGGAAGAGGAGGAGGAGGAGGCAGGAGCTGGTGAGGAGGAAGACCCTGATGTAGTGCTGACAGAGAATGAGGATTCTACTGCCAATCAGGTATGCTTGGAATGACCTACCCAAGAATCTGCTGGGGGATCCTGTGACATAGTTGGTCTTGACTGGTGAAGCTCAGGCTTTCAAGAGTCTGGTCAACCTGTCACCCTGCAGCAGGAGGGTGGGGGCTCTGGGGTTCTTCCAGAACACAGGCTGATGCAAAAGACAACCAGGCACTGTGTGGGGGTGCAGGAAGGGGTTTCTGCTGTGCTGTACAGCTCCTACTGCTGTCTTCAAACATGACCTTGTTGCTGAGGAGCACCAGTAATGCTTTTTCAGTAGAGTCTTTAACAAAGTCATGGACACAGTCTCTTTGACTAGCCCAGCAGTAGCTAAGGTTCATAGCAAACATATGTGCGGAGGTTTATCTCCATAAATATTTTCCCAGTAGAGAGCAGTTTCCAGAAGGAGGTACATGGCCAAGCTACTTCAGGCTTGGAGGGCAAGGGGTAATTTTAACCCCTGTAATGGAAGTGGCCTGCTGACATTGGGGTTTGCCTCTGGTCATCACCAGGTGCTGTTCAGCTCTGGTATGTGAATCCTCTGTTTTGCTCCCAAGCTTTCCTGAAAAATGCAGGAGCCCAGGAAGGGAATTGGCATAGATACAGTAGGCACTAATGTTCTTTTGGTTTCCAGACTGGGCTGAAGGAAGTGTCTTTGGAGCATTACGAAGGAAGTGAGAAGTATTGTCCAGACACAGCCTATGGTAAGCAAGCAGAGTTAAGCATAAAGGCTAACAGAGCCTTCTTTGGCCACATGTTGTATCTGTAAGAGAGAATGGTCTCCACCTACTGTTGCAATGACTTCTTGGGCCATAGTGCTCCAGCATCTGCATTGGATTGGTGCAGGTCACTGCTGCCTGGAGGAGAGACCAAACATTGCTTTATTACTGTGTGATAAAACATAAGGATGTGATTGATGTTTGTCAGCTGCCTTTTGCTTTGAAGAAGAAAGGATGAGAGCCAGATACCTTTCTAAGGTAGGACATGGAACAGGTAGGGCAGGAGTACTGAAGAAAGTAGGTAGCAAATGAGGGGTGCTCTGAAAAGATGGAGTCTGAAAGCATATTGGTGGGAATGCTTTCCAACAGAAATGCAGCTTGCACAGAGATACTGAGCAGCACTGACAGTATCAAACTCTCTGCTAGAGCCCAAATTGTGCATGTTTCCTCTGCTTCAGAACCCCCACGCTGTACCTAGCCGTTCTCAGCTGTGCTGCTGGCCTGGTGGGCAGTGCTGCCTCCAGATGGCTGTGTCTGTCCCCACCCTGTCAGTGGTTCTGACTTCAGCCACTGGTGTTGTGAGGAGGGCAGCTCTGCAGAGGCTGTTTTGTGCCCAAGGAGAGCTCTGTTTACACCAATCTTCCATATCGCTGTAACCTTCCACTATCGTGTGGCAGATGGAATAATGATTCATGCTGTGAATGTTCTCTGCGTGTTCCTCTTTGCGCGCCTGCTGTCTTCTGCTTTGGTTTGATCCCATTACATTAGATCACATGTTCTCTGTAGTTTTCCATTGTATTCTTTTCTCCCCTTTTTCCCCTCCTTAATGCTCTGTGTAGTTTCTTTGCTCTGGCAGCCAGATTTCTCTCTGAATATCAACCACAGCCATTCCATGGTAAGACGAGATATTCAGCAAGTCATCTTGCAAATCCCTGATTAACAGAAGCAAAGCTTTCCACTTTTCCCTTCTCTACCCTTATCCCTCCCCTTTCCCTTTTAACATGCTTTCATTATTTTAGTTCCATTCAATGTGATCTGTGATTTCCCTTCCCCTCCCGTTTCGCAGGCCTGGATTTTCTGGTCCCCGTCGCAGGTTACCTCTGCAGGCTGTGTCACAAATTCTACCATAGCGACTCCGCTGCCCGGCTCGCACACTGCAAGTCCCTGATGCATTTTGAGAACTTTCAGGTCAGACCCTTTGGCGATTGCATGGCCTGGCATTTGTTACCCCCCGTGCGTGTCTCTCCAGCCAATCCACCACCTTAGCTGTCTTGTCTTCATTTCCATCATCCTTGGTGTCCACCGTGCCATCGCTTTCTCCTGGCGTGCTCTGTTTGTCTGCCATCAACCCTGTAGATCTAAATCCAGTCCTGCGCTTCCCAGCTACTGCTGCTGTCATCTTGTTGCCTGTTTCTGGCTGGGAATCTTCCTCAGAGTGTCTGCTCTGTTTTGCTGAACCTGTGGAGTCTGTCGGTCACTCTAGGCCTCTTCTCTGATAGACAGGTGGGTCAAGGTGGGGGCAGGACAAGAGACAGAGGCTGTTCCTTGTAAACGAGTGTGCACATACACTTCTGCAGTACTGCAGGAACAGCTCCTTCAGCCAAAATTGTGGGTGTCATTCATCCATGAAGAGGCCTGGTAAAATCCCTCACCTGAGAAATCTGGAAATTGAAGATTACAGACTCTTTATGTGATGGAAGCAGCTGAGAGTCCATTTGTCCCCAGGGTCAGCCTGCAAGAGGAAGTCTGTCTGTTTGTCTGTCTGTCACCCTTTCCTAGAAACTCCTTAGCACAAAGCTCTGCCAAATGATGCTGTTCCTTTGCTTTCTTGGCTCCACCCAAAGAAGTCATAATGCCCCTTGCTGCTTTTGTATCTAAAGCTTTTCCTCCTGGGCTGGCCTGGAATCTGCCTCCATCGTTCTGTCCTTGTTGACTTGCCAGGGGGTGAGGGGCCTGGATTAGTACCTTGTGGAGGGTGTGCAGGGCTTGTACTGTCTCTGCCCTCTCCCGTGACCACTGCCTGAGCTCTGCCTGTGTGGGAGAGTGGTATTCCCTGATCCTGGTTAGGAGGGAGGCTCCCCCACCAACTTTGTCCTCTGCCTTGCACCCATGATTACTCCCAAAATGTGCTGTGCTTCCCTACCAGCTTTTGAGAGTGTTTGGAAAACCAAACTAAACATACAGACACATTCCCCAAAACCCCAAAACCTCATGTTTTTCTTCTAGTCTTCAGACAGAAGAAACTATTCCTAGTCAGCCATCACTGTCTGCAGCAAGGGGTGGGGAGCTGCAGAAGCCAGTGCTTAGAGCAATGGATTTGGAAATGGCAAGAGACCACAGCTGCTCCTTCATGGTTGCTCATCCTCTCCCACTCCTCCAGCTAGTCATTTCAGGAATGAAGGGATCAGCCTTGCAGTTTTCTTGGCTTGCTTTAGAGCAGCTCAGAGTGAAACTGCAGTAGCAGTCACTTATGTCATTCGTTTGGCCCACTTAGAGCTGAAATCAGATGCTCTTCAAATGGATGCCAGAGTGACCTGGCGGGGGGGGAATTATTTATGACAAGAGTCCAACCTTAAATATCTGCAGGCAGATAACTATTATTCTTGGCTGCCTAGGTGCCTTGGAGTTGTCACAGTTAAATCATTGCCAGTTACTGGGGTGTTCTCATCAGAGCAGCTTAACAGAGGGTTTCAAAGCAGAGAATTGCCTGCTGTTGAGGCAGTTCAAAGCATCACTCTGAATATGAATTTGCTTGCTTGCACCTGCTTTAGTTTGGGTACAACATGATGACTCGACTGATGTAGATCCAATGTGGTATGATATTGTGCATATCCCACTACTTGACAGCAGAGAAAGAACAAGTCTGCAACGATGAACTGAATTACAATGTAGAGCTGCCTGTCAGGTGTGCTGTATTTCCACACTGTGGACTGGTGAAAGCCACTGTGCTCAAAATTGTTCCCTTAAATTGTCAGGTCTAATGCTAGTGTCAGTACAAGGAACCCTTGAGCAGAGAGCTGATTGTAGAGGGAACTGCTGGGGGAAAGAGGGAGCTTTGGTTTGGTCCTTTAGCTCATGCTCTGTCTGGGTGTTGAAGATCGGGTTCCTACTGTGTTAGCCAGCTAGAGAGCTGCTGTTCTCCTGAAATCCAGTCTTGAACATGACTAGTAGGCATTTTAATCTCTTCACAGACCTCTGCTGGTTCATCATGATAGCGAGTGTGAATGAGTCATGCTATTGATTATACACTTACCTTTATTCTGTAGAGAACCTCAGTGCCTTGTAACAAGAAGATATTCTTGATATCTTAATGTTCTTGTCAGCAGTTCCACTGACTGCACTGATTGTATCAACAGAGTGAAGAAACATTAAGCTTTCAACTTAAGTCTTGCTTTGGCTGATAAACATGAAATCACACCTGTAGCTGAGGGCAGTGCAGAGCCTCATGTGCCCAGGGTATGTGTCCTGGCAGTAGCTGAGGCAGGAGCTGTCACTTGCACTGTTACATCTACAGAGTACTGAGTCTGACTGAGATTAACAGTTGCCAAAACATGATTTTTGTCTCAGGAGCCACAGGTCTGCCATGCACTCGCTCAGCATTAAGCAATGAGAGGGACTTCAGATGTTAATATCACCACTTTTCCTCACAGGAGCTGACCCTTCTCTGTTGAGAGCCTCAGCAGCCAGGCCAGGAGCTGCCAAGACCAGTTGTGCCCCTGCCACTCACCACTGTTTCTGTACAGGTGTTCCTGGACCAGCTGCTGCTTGCTGCAGTGACAGGAGCTGAGCTGGGCTCGTCTCTCACGCTGCTTTGTTTGTATTTACAGAGATACAAGGCAGCAAGGCATCGTGCCACAACTGCCTACCCCGAGGCTCCTTTGCATTCCCAGGGCTCCAGCTCCCAATTGCTGGATGATCCAAAACAGCCTCTTGCTACAGCTGCACATACCAGCAAGAAGATGAATGATGATCGTGGGATAGGCAAGGAGGGTACGGAGCTGTCAGCCCTGCAAGAACAAACCTCAAGGTCTTTGGAGGGTAAGGGTGAGCTGGCCACCTCTTGGGGCAGAGGGCAAGAGCCTGGCCAGTGTGACTGATGGTGTGTGTGGTATCATGGTTGTAGAAGAAGAAAATCTACAGGAAGAAAGCAAATCCACTGCCACTAGCATCGACTGCCTGTTCCCTGAAGAGAGCCACACGGCAGAGGAGCTGCTGGGACACGCAGTGTGCAAGGAGGAGGAAGCCAATGCAGCCAGGCAAAGGGAAGGCACAGATGACCACCAAGATCCAGGGAGTGCAGGAGGGTTGGGACAGAACGAGGCAGCAGATGCAGGCCAGGAGGCAGCAGCAGAGCCTTCCTCCCTCGCCAAGGGTGAGACAGGCAGTCTCACCTCTGCTGGG